CCTGGGATGTAAACTGGAATTAATGGGTCAAAACAGCACTGCAGTGTGTAATGCTCCACTTGAGGGCTGAAATCCTGGCATTTCTGGACCTTGAGAATACAAGACAGCAGCTCTCTGCCTTAGGGAAACCTCACAGGCATCACCTGCATCTTCCCATCCCTCCAAAAACAGACCATATGAGCAGAGCAACCAGTCCTAAACTGCCTTCCTACCCAGGGGATACTCTCCAGCTGGCTTAGCACAGGGATTTAAGAGAAGAAACCTGGAGGAAATCTTAAGAGTGTGTGCTGTTGTTCTCAAAGAGAATAAGACTATAACAGCAGAGGTGTTCTAGGGGGCACAAGTTGGCAGGACCTGGCTTCTGGGCTGCCAGGATGCTCTCACCTTCAGCAGACAATGCAACACCTGATCTTCGTGCCTGCAGCATCCCTGCCAGCCTCGTGTTTCAATCACAACTTGATCTTAGCAGCTGCTTTCTCTATCTCAGACACCCATACACAAACACACCCCTAAGCAGCTGTAAAATTAAACTTCAGCTGGGTAGGTAGGACCTCTTGTAAAGCACTTGAGACTCAGGGAAGGAGGGAATTTCAAAAATGCAGTCTTGTGCAAGAATTTGAGAGGGCTCCATCCTTGGCCTTCTTGCTTTATCAGCTCTTGAGACAGCACTACTAAACATGTACCAGCACTGCTGAAGTAAGAAGCAAAACAAATAGAGGAAAACAGATGCTGGGAGATGCCTGAAGCTGGCTGACGTGATTTGCAGTGGCTGGGGAAGTCTGCTGGAGGCTCTCACCTCTCCTCCAGCCTCTCATCTCCTCTCCTTATCCCCAAATTCCCCCCTCAGCCAGCACAAACCCCCGCCCGGGCCGGTGCCGGGTCCCAGCCGAGCCTGGCAGCCACAACAGCATCCGCGCATCCATCAGAGCCAGCGGGGCACGGCGAGGCGGAGGGCAGCCCAAGCAGCATATGGAGCACGGGTGTGGTGAGCACCAGCCTCCCCAGGAGCTGTCTGCCACAGATGGAAAAAGCCCAGGAGCCATCACGACAAAATCTTCTGGCTGGGGGCGACACGTCCTGGCTCCTGCCGGCTTTCTGAGCCGCTGAGCAGTGCTGGAAAGCTCCGCTCCTCTCCTTCAGCACTGACTCATTCACCGCCGCTTTGGTCCCGCAGTTTGCCGGTGGGAGTTGTGGGAGGTGGGGATGAGGTAATTCCCAGTGCATGTGGCTACCATGGTGGAGGGAGACTAGCCACCCACTCCAGAGGAATGAGCTGGCTGTGCACAGTCTGGATAACCACCAAGCTCCAGGTCCGGTCTGCTGATGCAATCACAGGGATGGTTCAACCTTGACTTTTGGGGAAGATGGGATGCACCACCACAGGAGCATCCGAGGTCTTCTCCTTGGAGAAAGGCAGCCCTTTATGTGGTCCAAGGGCATAGTCCATGTGCAACCAGGAATGCGGTGAAACACAAGAAAGTCACCAGGAGCAACGCTCCAGCTGTGAGATCTCCCAGGCCAGGTGACACAAAGTAGTCCACAGAAAGCATGACAGCTCCCTGGCTGAAATCACCCACAAATCGAGCTGAAGTTCATAGCCCTGCACTAGCCAGAGGCAGCAAAGAGAGCCACCACGGTTTCTCCTGCTCTGATTTCTTGGAACACTGCAATTCCTCTCCATCTGAAACTATTCCACTGGCTGCAATTTAAAAACAAAATCAATCCAGCAAACATTGCTAAGCAACTGGCTGTCAGTGCCACATCCCATCCCATTGAAAGTATTTGCCCTCTCCATGACCTCCTGGCAAGGAGCTTGCTGCTCAGCCCTTGCCAGATTTTGTATATTCAGCTATCGCTGGCAAGTCCAGATGCTTAGCTGGATTAGCAGAGAAAACACCAGGAAACTTTCTGCAACCATCCTAATGAAAAACACCCCACAGAGAAGCTGTGAGGAGCAGCATTCCCACATCCCAGTGCCTAGGATTAAGATCCAATGTTTGGGTCTCTGGGCATTACCACGGTCTGAAGGTCCATCTCAGTGCTGTCACACATCATGCAGAGGCAAGAGGGATGGAGAGCCAACACACTGGAAACCTTGTCACAAAGCAGAGCACAACATCTCACCGAGAGGCTGAGGGAGAAGTTGTTTATCAATGGCAAGGAGCTGAAATGATGGATGAGACCCTCTCCAAAGCCTCCAAAACCCTTGCACAAGCTCGCCAGGAGCCTCTTGGCACAGTGGCACCCCTTAGTGTGGGGTCCTGCATTGCCTCAAAGTCAGCTGGAATAGAATTGAGGCCCAGCTCTCTGGGTTCACTCTGAGCAGCTTAATCCAAGTTTTCCATTGAAACCAAGCCTCTAAACACAGCCTCCAGTAGGACATGCAGCAGGAGCACTGCAGGTGTCCCTTCTCCCACAACAGCCTGCTCCACACAACCCTGCTCTCCCCTTCACAGGAGGGCATCTAGTCAACCCCATGGTGCATTCCCTTTCTATGTTCTTGCACAGCCACCAGCAACTTCTCCCTGCTCCGAGAGCAGGCCATGCTTACCCATGCTTTCCCACACATTTCTGCTGCACAGTTCAAGACCAGCTTCCAGGCTGCACAGCAGGGCCTGACCATCACCTGCAGCAGCTCCCAGGACACCTGTGCTGTAAGTAAGGATTATTTTTCCAGAGAGGGCTCAGCTCTGCACTTTCCTCTCTCCCTCAACCACCAATCCTTGATCCTTCTCCCTCCTCCATCCTCTCCATCAGCGCCTGCCTCCCCCAGACCTGCCGGCAGCTCCATTTCCTCCGTGGCTACTCTAATGCTTGGCTAATGGTGCATCATCCGCAGCATTCCTCAGGCATATTCAATAAATCAGAATCCAATTACCGGGTTAAGGAAATTGGAAACAAATTAAATTAGCCCCAGCCCCTCCCACGTGCTGTGCCCTCTCTTCCTCCTTAATGAGAACTTTTCTTTCACAGGAGCACTCAGTGCCACATCTGCCCGCCCAGGAACAAGGTGGCTGCCACTGCACAGCCAGGGTAGGCAAGGGGCAACCGAGGCAATCTTCCCTTTTAATAGGGCAGATGGTTAATATCCCTGGCATTAATTCTCTCCAGGAATAGCACATTCACTCTCTGCTCAGCTATAACAGGCGTCCGTCAGGGCTGACAGCTCCTCTCCGGAGAAAGGAGCATCTGGTCCTTACAACAAAAAGAAGCTAAATAAATAAATAAGCACATGGCTTGCTACAGGGCTGGGGAGCTGGTGCTGTTTCAGCATTTCAGCCCAAGTGCTGCATTGGAACCGGAACGGGGGAAGTTCAGAGCTGGGTCAGATGCCAGGAGTGGAGTCACTCTGATCTGGGAGCAAGGTGCAGCACAGGCAGCAGGGTGCTATGGCTGGGTCCAGCACAGAGCTCCCACCAGAGCAGGACTTCCCCAAAAGGGCTCCCAGGACAAGGCAGTAGAGAGAGCTGCTGCCAGCAATTTGGGACATAATGCCAGGCACAGCTCCATGGAAAGAGCTTGCACTGGCTCTGGACTGGTGACTGACAGCAGGGGCCAGGCATACACTGTGTCCTCAGGTGACAAGGAGGAAAACTGCATTGAGGGGACCTTGGGAGCTTTTCCCTCACCATTGGGACATCCTCGCATCACCCCATCCAGCAAACTAACAATTAACCCCACTGACCTTCAGCAGGAAGGGCAGCTCTTCCCTAGTGAGACTGGAAAAGGCAACCAGAGGGAGACTACAGCTGAGACCTCAGCAAGGAAGGGAGCACCAAAACTCCTACCCCACCCTTCTCACACTGACAGAGGAGCGCAGCTCCATCTACAAGGCAATTGTTGCTGCAATCCTCCCTGCCTTTCCCAAGAGCTCCTTTGGGCACCAAATGATAGTTCTGACCTCAGTGGTGCTGGAGCAGCTAATAATCCAACAAGTTCTTACCCTTCTCTCCTCCTCACTCAGCAATGACCCCTTATTCCCCACTCCTCTCTCTGCAGAGCAATTTCAGCACTCAGCAGTTATTTTATCCCCCTTGCATCACCTCAGTGCATCTGCAGAGCAGGAGTTCTCAGCACCTGTGAAGACTTTGCCCAACAGTGAGACTTGCTCTTGCAAACCCAATACTTTTCTGAAGGGAAAATAAAGGCCTTCCCTTTCTTTCCCTATGGGAATAATTTATACAGTTTCAATTAGCAGGTTTAAAACTTCCAGACATGCCAAGAAATCAAGTGAAGGGAAACACTCAATCCCAGAAATACAACCCAGGCAGACCCAATCCCAAGAGCACCCGAAACCACATCCCTGGAGGGGAACAGGACTAGGCCCCTGTGAAAAATGCATTTATTTGATGATTGCCTTTTCGCAAATATTAAAATGAATATTATATGTGTTGTGTTAGAAAGTAATGCTCTATTAATTCTCTTAAGTACTGTGTTAAATATAGTTTTAGGTTATTAAAAAATGTTAAAATAGAAACTATGCTATGTAGGATATTTTTTTCAAAGAAAGGACTCACAGTGAGATAGCAGCCATAGGACACCTAAATCTTTCAGAGAAAAAGAATTTACTGCCCTCTTATCAGAAGAAACCAACTTCTTCCCGCCTCAAAGGCGCTGTTAGGATTCGAAGGAAGAAGCTGACGATGACCAAACAGAATCCTGTGTTTGAATGGAATTTATGCATCATGGATGAGGTGTATGAATATGCAACAGGCTGCTGCTTTTAAGGGTTAATCCTCTGTTAAAGTGGGTCCTTTTTCAGGCTAGTGCTGCCCTGAAAAAGGTACCCGGACTGTCTGTAACTCTTTGAATTTATTGTCTCAGATTGTCCTCATTCAATTTGTCCAAATTATTATTACTCTAATTGTATTGCTATTTTTAATGACCATTTTACTACTACTAAACTTGTAAAATTTTAAAAACAAGTAAGCGGTTGGCATTTTTTCCCAGCCGCCACGCCATGGAGTTTGGCGAGGAAGAGGAGGAGGAGGAGGCAGCACCTGTGGTGGCGGGTGTCGCGGACAGCGCGGTCACTGGGGATCCTCTCGCTCTCCCGCTGGTTGAAGGCGTGCAGCCGGTACGGGTCCTCGCCGCCCTTCCACCTCCGGGCGCTCAGGTACCTCCGCTCTTCGAACTGATCCCACAGGTCGTCCCAGTCGGCCTCCGATTCCTGCGCGCACAAAGCCAGCCCCGTTAGACACAGCGGAGACCGGAGCGCGCCTGACCCCGCTCCAGAGCTCCTCCCAAGCCCCACCGGAGCTCCACCATCCCCGCAACTCGGGCAAGCGCTGCGAGAGCGGCCAGCGAGGAGTCCTGTTAGAGCAGCCTCTTCGAGCCCGCTCTCATAAGCTCTCCGAGGTCTGCAACACGCCCAAGATGGCTCAGCTACCTTTGGAGGCATAAAAATCAGCAGGATGGCTTCTGCTGCAGTGTTGGAAACAAAAAAGGCAAAATAACAAACAGAGAAAAAACCCAGCCAGGTGCCAGAGGTTCTTGCTCCTGGTAAAACACCTTACAAAAGCGATTAGTTTCTTCGGTCACTTCTTTTTCTAGTAAATTGCCCTAAAGGTGGGACTTTTTGGCTTCTGTCCAATTAGCTATCCTTAAGTTTGAGGTGAAGTCCCCCAGGCCTATGAGGTGGCTTTTTCACCTAATCGAGAAGAGAAACTTCTGGGCTTCTTTCCTTTTTGAGGGGACAAAAGATAGTTTTGTCACTCCGTCAACAAGAGGCACACTCCTATAGAGTCCCATGAGGTCTTCAGGGTTTATTTTTTGTCCTTACTTCCTGAAACAATATGTAAAAGAGAGCCTGCCAATTTGAATTAAAATGACTAATCTGAACCCAAATTCAGGTCTCTGGTGGATGCCCCTCTCAAGCAGCACAAACATTTTGTAAGGGTTTTAATTTCTCTGCAGGCAAAAAACAAAGGTATTGTAAAACACATGGCCCATTGCCCCCATAACCTTTCAGGCAGGAAAGGAGTAATCCCACATTTCCACAGCCACATCCTAGCCCCAGCTCCAGCAACAGGACCCTGGAAGAAGGGGGCCATCATGCTCCCAGCCCAATTTCAGTCCATCTTTGCCACCACACGTCTCCCACTGAGGACTTCAGCCCCACTGAAGGGAGAAGAGCAGGGAAGCACATCCCCCCTGCTCCAGGATGGAAGAGCTGCATTTTGGGGTTACCCAGCAGCTTCAACAACCTTGGGGGGTTTAAGCATTTCTTGGTGGCTCGGTGCTGTCGGGGTTGAAGCATCCCTGAGCAGCAGAAGCTGTCGGGGGTTTAAGCATCCTCTGGCAGTGTCTGAGGCAGCTGGCACAAAACAGCGCCGATAAGATCTCATCACTACAGCAGCACAACCTCTTTGATCTCAGCCTACCTGTAACACTGAGAGATGCAAACATTTACACACATCTCAGCCCTAAAGAAAATTGTGATCTTATCCAATAATTGATCTTTTCTTCTGCCTTGCTTTTTTTTTTTCCCCTCCTCAGTTCACACCATCTCAAAGTCGATTTTGCCTGCTAATAGCGCAAAATGAAGCTTTTGAAAAGGGCGATTTTTATCCCATAATTGATTTTACTCGCATCTGGCAGTGCATTTTTTGTAATCACAGGAAGGGGAGGAGGGAGCACTGGCTCCTGCAAGTAAACCACCACAGGAGCAAGCCAGGCACCTCCAGCCAGAGGATGCCCCATATTGCTCTGGGTTATGGTGATGTGAGCATTCCCAAGCACTCCCAAGAACCAAGAAATTCCAGGGATGCAAGGGTTTCCAGATACAGGGTTGTATTCACCCTCCCCTGGTGTGACCCCATGGCCTTCCCAGGACCTCCTCCAGCACGTTCCCCAGTGTGAGGAGATCAGAAGAAACCCCTGAATCACCAGCCACACTGAGAGGAAGTTATTCAGGACTGGAATAAAGTCATTCAAGGCTGGGAGAAAGTTACGAAACCAGTGAGGTCCCTGCAGGAGTTTTATGAGGAGGACGCACATAACCCAGCCGCGGACTTTGGGGAGGGCCGACGTGCACGGGGTGATAAATGCTGTTTATGTTGGGTTTTTTCTCAGGCATCTTGCAAAACATGATTTAGCACGGCAGTAAAAGATCAGGGAAGAGTGAGGCGATTGCATCGCGGAGCCAGCGAGAGCCTGATGTTTATAAGATTTCACGATGACCCCAGGAGGCCTGGCGCTGCTGAAACAACCACCGGAGCTGCAGTCCCTAAATTTTAATGCTGTGAAGAAAAATAAAAGTTGGTTTTATCAAACTTAATAAGAAGAGAGATGGTTTTCGAAAGTGGCCACACAGCACTTAAGGCTGTAAGGTGTGGGTGTGTAGGTTGTTTTGGTTTTTGTGATGTCAGTTATACCCAATAGCCTTGGATCAGCTAGAAAGGTACAGATAGGCAAGAATCTGACTGATGGCTCAGGTGGGAGGGCTGGTGAATTCCCTCAAGAAAACTGGAGCTTCTGCACCTGCTGTAAGCGCAGCAATGCTCTGGTCAGGTAGCAGAAGCAAGGTTTGGCACGTGGCAGGGTCCTCCAGGGTCTGGGATAGCATTTTCCATCTAACTCCACTAATGTGCTGTTACCAGGGGTGGGGTCCCAGCAGGAAATGGACAAATACCAGTGCCTCACCCCACAGTATTCACCTCTCATCCTGCTCAGGATGTATCTTGCATTCCAGGGTTGCATTCCTGGTTAACTCTGCAGTGACTAATTAATACTCCTGTGCAATCTCCACCTGAAAGACACCAGCCCACCTTGATTCACCCATGTTCTTCTTTTTGGGCTGCGGAAAGCTATCTGTGGGATGGGTACTAAATACTGGGTAATTAAATACACACCTGAGATCTACAGTAACTAGATGCCAGAGATTAAACAGTTATTTTAATCCCTATCTGGCCACACAACAAGACCAGGGATTGGGTTCACTTTTTCAGCCAGAGGTAGATTTTGGTCTGCATCACCTGCCCAAATCTTCTGGGTGTTCTTTCCATCCCAAGCCTCCCTAAAAGGGGAACTGAAATTGGAGCAGAATGCTCAGCTCAGACACAGGTGCACACTGACCTCTGCAAAACACAGGGGCTCAAAGCAGGAGAGGAAAGCATGAGAAGCTCCCAGCTCTGCAAGCAGCAGGAGGCAGGAGACCTCACCAACCCACACACAGGGACTCACCTGTTTCTCACCTGCACCTGATCTGAGACAGGGAATGAGAGTTAAAGCACCAGGAGAAATCCCCTTTGCTTTCCCAGGGACAGCACATTGGTTACAGGTTACCAGATAAGGTCTTCATTATAATATTTCCACAATGTATAATCACCTCTTCCTCACACCAGAATTCTGTCTTGGGAGTTATTTAACTGATGTGCAGAAATCTAAATTTAATTTATTATGATCTAACTCACTTTAGAGGCCAAATTACCCTGCACTAGAAAAGGATCAAGTCAATACTCCACTTGCCTTTCTATTTATCTTCTACAGGGCTCATCTCTCCAAGTTTCCTAATCATTTTCTTTCACGTGCTAGTAATAAATTTTCATTTTTTTTTCCTTGGAATTAGGTAATTTCTCTTTCAACACTGCAGTTTAATGACTGGTATTAATTATAGGAAACACAGTCAACGCTTAAAAGAGTTTGAGAGACTCAATGAGCAGAAGGAAAGAGAAGAAAAATACATCTTTTTGGATGGGAGGAGGGGCTGTCTGCTCTTGGCAAACAAGTGTTGCCTCTTCCAACACCACCCTGGGGAGTCCCCCAGGGGTGGTCAAGGACAGGGACACCCACAAAAAGACACTGACAAAACTTCTTATGGAGAGAAGAGAGGCTTCCGTCTCACACCAGCACCCAGCCAAGAGCAGGGGTCACCAAGAGCTTTCTCTGCCATTTCACTAAAGCATCCCCCCAAAAAATGACCCACTAAAGGCACCTCCTCCAAAACCACCCATCACCCTCGCTGGCTAAGGGCACACAGACCAGAGGCAGCTTTTCACTGTAACTCTACATTAAAGATTAAAAGCCTCTCAGTGCAAAGATGTAATTCGTCATCTGCCTCTTAAATCAGAGCTCAGAAACAAAACAAAACAAAACAAAAAAACCACCAAAGAAACAAAGAAGGGAAAAAATAATATTTAAGAAAAAAAACAAGTGGTGCTGCAGGGGGAAAATGGGTCATTAGCAGTAAAACTACAATTTCCTGGCAACTGCTAATGCCTTGTTTATGTGGATTTCTGCGAATATGACATTTTAACGGCATAATAATTGTGTGATTACAGTACAGCAGGGATTGCTGGAGCGGGAAGGAGGAACAGCAGCGGCGGCTGCTGCTGTGGGGCCATGGCGTCCCCTGGCAGGGCACGGGAGGCCAGGCCAGGCTGGACACAGGCAGGGAAAGGGCAGCTGGGACAGCACTTTGGCCACCCAGAGGCAGCCCAGCAGTGCAAGGGCATGTCAGGTGAAAAGCCTCCCCAGAGGAGCCAGCAGGGACAGGGATGGGCAGGTCACACCAGTCCCCAGGGACAGCCTCCAGCTGCCCAGCAAGACAAGGAGTGGGCAGTGCGAGCCAAAGGGAGATTCTGACTCACTTTCTTCTCTTAACATAGAGAACTTAAGCCTTGCTAAAATAAAAACTGTTTTCCTTTTGGGGCTGCTAAGTTTTGCCTTCAGACCAGAGTGAATCAGACCAGTGCCATGAGTTTATTGTAAATGCAGGGCCACCAACGAGGGGAGAGAATGATGCATCTGACTCCATCTTATCAGAAGGCTAATTTATTATTTTATGATACTATATTAAAGAATACTATACTATACTAAAGAATACAGAAAAGATACTTACTCAATGCTAAAAAATAATAATGAAAACTCGTGACTCTTTCCAGAGTCCTGACACAGCCTGGCCCCAACTGGCCAAAGAGTCAAAACAACTCACACCAGAATCCAATGAAACAATCACCCGCGGGTAAAACAATCTCCAAACACATTCCACATGAGAACAACACAGGAGAAGCAAATGAGATAAGAACTGTTTTTCTTTTCTCTTTTCTGTTCTCTTTTCTTTTGCTCTCTCTGCCTTTCAGCTTCCCTGGAGAAAAACCCTGGGCGAAGGCATTTTTTCAGAGAATGTGAATGACACACATGGCATTTCAGGAGGCAGTAAACCCAAGC